GGCATGGCTGTCCGATCAAAAAGAACACGCGCGTCTTCCGCAGTTGCTTTGGGAGGTTCTACAAAAGTTGTGAAAAAAAAACACGAATAAAGGTCAAGACAAACTAAGTGCGATGAGAAGTCTCTATTACCTTTGTTTACAAAGCAAAAAAACTAGCTCAAGTATTATACAATTGCAAACGCAAATAAGATTAGAAAAGACGAGATCGTAAGCAGGTTTGTTACAACGGGAAAATGTTTCGCTTCCGCTCTTCAGACGATTATTTTTAGGGGAGGGAGAACTCATAACAATACTAAAATTTCTCCCAATGAAAACGACATAAAAAATGTCCCTAGCCAGAGCTTCACCCCACACCTTCAAATCTATCGTTTAATAAAATACTCCTCATTCCCCTCTCCCTCCCACTCACAGATTTACCATGTCTCACCTTCGTCTGAGTCGTCGAGCCGAGAATAATTACTGTGATCGAGCTTAGGAAGACACTGTTTAATGGGAATCCAATTGAACGTCTCTGGACAGGCCAGATAGGATGGTGAGTAGTTTCCCTGGAGAAAGAAAACACCACAGCGACGTAAAGCACTTTCCGATTGACTGTCGTGAAACTTACCTCAAAAAATATAACCAAGAGCCAAGTTATTTCTGTCGTAGGTCAACGTACTCACCTTGTATCTCATTTTTGGACACGAGTGTATGTAGAAACCCATGTAGTAGTTCTGAATGGTTGGGACGATTTTCTGGAGGTGGCGAGTAAAGTGAATTTCCCTAAAAGAGAAATAGAAAGCTATTGGTTGTACATTCCAAAAGATACGCGATAGGGCGCGGTAGAAAACGTGGGACGAAGCCTGAGAAATGTTTTAAACTGTTCACATGATTTTTACGGTTGTAGAACTTGCAACGTGTTCATTTTCAACTGAAATGAAGGAATTAAGAAACTGGAACTAAAAAATGGTCTCCGGCAGAAAGTGCTAGGGAAAACGATTTGCCAAGCTGCAAATGAAAAAAATTTATTGCCGATCTAAAATTCTAGGTTGAGTGCCGAATAAGTATGGTCAGAAAAAAGAAAATTAGGGTGAGCATTTTTAAAGATAAAATTTTAAGTTTACAGATTACCTCAGAGCGGAATATACTCCCAGAGATAAATGTGAATAATCAGGATCGTAAAAGAGATACACGGATGAAACGCAGCGAGGAAGAATATCCAGCACTCCAACCGCTATCAGTTTATCTGACACAAAAGATTAACAAATTTAGTACATACCACACAAGTAAATAGTTGTGTAGTAATTGTAAGAAGTAATTGTAAGTAGTTCCATGCAAGCCAATCAGCGCGAGCTTTTCGCGCGCGCTGATTGGCTTTCATGGAAGCAACCTCGTTCCCAGTATCCCCAATTTAGGGAAAAGGCTCTTCGAACGAGGTTGGCATGGAAGTGAACAGTTAACAATTATTCCACGAGCGCGCGTTGGATATGAGATGAT